TTACACTCACAACTCTAGAAGTTGCTTGCATTGTTTGATAATGTTTTTGACCCCCTTGATTTTGTACTGTTTCAGAGAGTTCAGATTGTACTAATTTGCACGCATTCAATACAATCAACTTTACACTCGCAACCAGCTGACGCATATGCTACCGAATGCTACCGTAACAAGCTATACAATTGCAACCAGCTGATGCAAATGATGCATTCGTGAAAGATATGTTAAGACATAGACTGTTGAGAGGAGTCGTTTGCTTGCCTCTAATGGACCTAGTGACGCAAACGATACGATAATGAGAAATACAGTAAGACCTACCTGATATATACAAAACTATGTACTTGTTTTTCAATGTGTTGTCCCGCTCCCACTCCTCTCCCAGACACATTTTATGATGCAGAATATGCATTTACTTTCCCAAGCGAAAATGCAACCCTAGTAAAGCTATATAGCAATGAACGCATGGTCAGCGTTCAACGCCTGAGCACCTTCGGTGCGGGCGGATTTACGCGCGGTTGATGTCCAGTTGTGGAGCACTCCGAACCTCTTTTGACAACATGTCGGATCCTGATTAGGCAAGTGAGAGGGAATAATAGAAAGTGTTCGCAAAATGTGTCTAACACCTGAATAGTTTAGTCGTAAAAAGTTTCTTCACCATTTTTTTGGTTTTGTTTACTTTTCTATGGTTCTGCTATTGCTCCCCCTTTAAATCCCTTACTTAACTCTCCTGAGGTTTGCTTGATTCATGGAAGTCTGACCTGGAATTAAAACTCAAGGAAGAGTACACAAGCCCAGGCGAAGTGAATATTATCAATTGTTTAGGGGGTGGGATAAAAGCAACCCTAAGCGAAAAAATCTAACCTTATTATTGTTCTGCTATTACTGCCCTTTCAATGGGCCTCCTTTTTTTCCACCCTTGAACAATTTTTTTGACCCTCCTTTTTTCCACCCTCGAAACTTTTTTTCACCCTCAAGATTCATTTTTTCCGCACCCCTTGGAACCTTTTTCCAACCTTCCAAAACCTTTTATTTTCACCCTGCCCCCTGTCATGTTCACCCTCTATAGCGTGTTTCTTTCACCCTTCACCCTTTCTTTTTCACCCTTCACTAACCCTTTCTTTGTCACCCTCCACCCTTTCTTTTCAACCCTCCGCCTGTGAAGCAGGTAACCCCTGGAACCTGCACAGAGAACAATGTCACCTCCGGTTTGTTTCACGCCGCTTGTTTCCACTTGCCAGACCTTTTGTTTTCACCTCAATAACTTCTTGTTACTAACCCTTCGGAACCCCCCGGAAACTGCGCAGAGACTGTCCGGAACAACGGGAACCGCCGGAAACTGACCCGGGCGCCTCCGGAACGTGAGGCAGCGCAGGATCCATCCATCCATGCATCCATCCATCAACGGAGTGCCAACCAACCAACCAACCAACCAAGCAACAACGCGGCCAAACCAACAAGCCAACCAAGCAACCAAAGCATGTTTTCCCCAGGTGCTGTAGATACTAGAAATCCCGTGCGGGGGAGGCTTGGTTTGCATTGCGGGGGAGGCACTGCGCCCTCCCCATTTACACAGCATCCATCCATCCATGCATCCATCAACGGAGTGCCAACCAACCGACCAATCAACCAAGCAACAACGTGGCCAAACCAACAAACCCACCAAGCAACCAAGCAACCAAAGCCCCCATCCCATAGCGCTGCGTCCTCCCCGCACCGATTTACACAGCATCCATCCACCCACCCACCCATCCATCCATCCATCCATCAACCAAAGCACACAAACAGAAAATTTGCCTATCCATCAAGCACTGTATCACGCAAGCAATCACGGCAAGCAAACCAACCAACCAACCAACGCACCAAAAAGTAACTTTTTTCTTTCTGTCCATGATCCATCCATCACTGTATGCGTTTTCTCCAAAAACCCAAGCAAACAACAAGCCAAGCAGGCTGAACCAACCAACACACCAACCAAAGGAAGGAGGGTACTAGACGACGAGTGGCCCGAAAGCATTTTTCATCACGTAGGAAGTCAGAGTGCGAGTTATCTGGTAAGTGTGCAGTGAGAAGTGTGAAGTTGAGTGAGTTGAGGTAGTGTGTGGGTTTCTGTGCGTGTATCTATGTCCGTGTGGAAATGAGTCTGCGTATGTGTGTGTTCGTGTAAGTTGAGGCAGTGTGTGGGTGTCTGTGTGTGATGCGGCCTCCCAAACCCCCACCGGCGGCCAAGCGGTGACAGCCCAGCTCATCGTCGTGAGCGTTTGGGCTGCTGGTAAGGGGAGAAGTAGCGTCCTTGCTCCTAGTAGTTTCATCGCGAGGAAGTCTGAGTGCGAGTTATCTGTTAAGTGTGCAGTGTGAAGTGTTAAATCGAGTGAGTTGAGGTAATGTGTGGGTCTCTGTGTGTGTATCTATGTCCGTGTGTATATGCGTCTCTGTCTGTGTGTGTGTGTCCGAGTAAGTTGAGGCAGTGCGTGGGTCTATGTGTGTGATGTGTGTGTGTGAGTCCCTGTCTGTGTGTGTGTGTGTATGTCCATGTCTGCTGCTGGTGAAGGTCTTCTCTGTACATATAGTGAACGAATTAGCGCGCAGGCCTCCCAAACCCCCCACCGGCGGCCAAGCGGTGACAGCCCCGCTCCTCGTCGCGTATCAAAGTTGTACTACCAAGTCGCCAGATCCAGCTACTCCGCGTACTACAGTTGTACGGCACAGTCGCCAGTGTTCATCTTCCAGCTCCACAGATACTCCGCGTATTCAACTTGTACTACCCACTCACCAGTTCTCATCTTCCCACTCCCCAGCTACTCTG